AAAAAAAAAAAAAAAAAAAAAAAAAAAAAAAAAAAAAAGAGGGAGCAAGCAGAAGACCAGCGTGAGCTTTTGTCTGCTGCTGACAGTAGATGCACATGACCCATGCCTCGTCTTTCTGCTGCCGAGACTTCTCTGCCATGATGGACAGCACCCTCAAACTGTGAATCAAAGTGAACCTTTCCTTCCTTAAGTTGATTTTGGCAGCTCTTCTGTCATAGCAATGAGGAAAGGAATAATACACTAACTTTTGGAATGTAAGGAGGTACAGAAGTAGAGATTTAAGAGCTCTTCCAGCTTGCCAGCACCCACACTGCAGATCACCTCTAACTCTGGTTCCAGGGACCCCAATGTCCTCTTCTGGCCTCCAAAGGCACTGCATACGTGTGGTGCACTGACATGAATGTAGGCAAAACACACACACACACACACACACACCAACACACACAAAATATAGGCACAACCAACTTCCTACCTGTGAGTTACCTTGGCCAGTTTATCCTTACCAAGTTCATTTACAAGCCTGAGCTTGGGAGAGTGTCAGCTTGGGAGCCCACTCCTCCAAGCATTTGAATGAATTCAAATGCATGCCTGACTCACCAAAGATACTAGATCCCTAGGGTGAATCAGGATCCTGACTCAGCTTGGTGTTCTATTGCTGCTGCTAACATAGTAACTGGTCTATAAAAATCATTTTATTCCTCTATGATGTCTATATATTTACCTTATGTTTCTACATTTTTTCCAATACTCTAAGTAGACCCCAATTAGTCAAAAAACAGTTCTGAAAAAATGACAAAGCCAGCAACCTAGACCACTGCGTTTGGTGAATCATGTGAGGTTTGGGAATGAAATTTCTTCTACTCATCACCAGAGTCAAACGTGGATTCACTATTTATATACACTATAACCAAATCTCTCTGAGAGTATTGGTGTGATTAGAGGAAGATTTAGGAAAGGTAAACTATTTGTTTATTTCATACCTTTTTTCTAAGTCCTCCGAGTAGAGCAGCCGTGGGAAGCATCTCCCAGCCCACAGGAGAGCAGAAGCATTTGCCTCCATCTAGACCCATGAACAGGACTGAGCAATGCTCCCCCAACTCTTCAAAAACAGGTTCTCTCACTTCTCTCTACCTCACAGCACCTCACATCTGCTTTCAGCACATCACTTAGTTTACATCTGGAACGCAGGGAAAGTCACTGAAGAGAAGCCCACAAGTTGGTTCATTGGGTGGAAGAAAATGTGGGGCCTTTCAGAAAACATGAAACAAGTGTTAAGTTCAGTCCCCACTTGCAACACAGTGATAACCAATAAACTGGAAGCAAGGGTCACCTCTGTACCCAGCCAGACTTATTGTGTAACCTTGAGAAGCCTTCACGTCTGTACATTAGAGGTGACCATCCATGTAACGTTACCCGAGGGAACTAAAAATTACAGATCACTTCAGAGCTTACTGGAAACATGGAGCAGAGTGCTAGAAAGAATAGCTTAGAGGGAAACAGGCAAGGCTGTGTACTACAACTCCAGTTTGTTTCTATTTTGGAGAAAGGAACTTTATCTTTTTAAAAAAGTAATCAGAAAAATGAAGAACAACAGTAGAACATTAGGGGTTCAGAGGTTAGGAGTCTTTGCCTCTCTTAAGAGAACCCACACTCAATCCCCAATACCATACCCACCACACACACACACACACACACACACACACACACACACACACACACACACACTGATCAAGACAGGAGGCATGCATACACACAAATAAAAACAAAATCTTTCAATTCTGTTTTTAAATAAGCAGAACAAGGTGACAGACATCTCCTAAAATACTTCTGAGTCAGGGAGCTGTGCTTCTCAATGACTTAAAAGAATATTTATTCAGAAAAAAAAAGAGCTCTTTAAACTTCTAAAAAAAAAAAAAAGCTACAGTTAGAGTGTCAAGCAGCTACAAGTTTCCCAATAATAACACATGATTTTTTAATATTTCGCCTTATCAACCCATTTTCTTGTTGAGTTTACTTTTGCAATATGCAAAAATAAAGATTTTGAAATTTAAACCAAGATAGTGATATTTGCAGTTTAAGTTCAAGTTAAACAACCGCAGTTTTTAGTGTTCTAGCTAACCCTGCAGCATGTGAGTGTGCACTGTGCAAGCCAGAAACAGTAAAAGGGCATGGTATGATATGGACAAGCCAGGCACGGTGGAGGGGTGTGGCATGGATATGTGCAATCCAGGTCTGGTAGATGAACATGGTGTGATAATTTCTGATCTTTTTACTCATAGCATTTATAGTCCGCTTGAGGTAAGACTCATTGTTCCCACAGACACTATAATTTCTGTGTACACAATGGTGATGCACTCTCTCATTACTTTGGAGTAAGCCAACTGCAGGTACAACACACAGTGAGCTGGGAGAAGATTCTTTAGGGGTTTCAGGAAAGGCTAAGATGACCTGCTATGCTAGGTGGATGCAGGAAGGATGATGATCTTCGTTTTCAGAGAGAAAGGAAAGAACTGCGTGTTCCCTCCCTCCCTCCCTCCCTCCCTCCCTCCCTCTCTTTTGTAGCAATGGCTCTCTTGTTCAGTATATTAAGTTTGAGCAAACAGGATTAATTTCACAGTACTGTTGCAGACACACAATCCCTCATGACCAGCACATCAATGTATTAGTTTAGCTGGAGACCAGTTTATCTGGGTCTTATATCAACGCAGGATGCAGTAGGGATGCTATAATTACTGTGAGGCAGGATGGACGTGAGGAATGTGCATCTGTCTGTTTTCTGTTGCTATAGCAAAGCACTCGAAGCTGGATACTCATGAAGAAAGGAGGTTGCCTTGGTCCCCAGTTTGCAAAGCTGGAAATTCAATATCAAACAGTCCTATATATTTGGCCACTGGCCATGTCACAACATGGAAGAAAAGAGGGAACAGCTATCTTCAGAAGGGGCCATATAAGTGGTGTGGCCTTACCTCGTAACAACAGACTCTCAAGGGAACTATCTCTATGAGAACAGCACTAATTTTTTGGAAGGCCACCTCCAATGACCTAATCTCCCCGTGCCTCAACCTTTCAAAGCTCCACTACTTCTTACTACAGCCAGCTGGAGATTGAACCTACAGCACACAGACCTTTGGATAAAGAAAGAGTAAAGAAGATCTTGTCAGCAAAAGCAAAATCCCTGTAGAGCCTGATAAATGCTTGGGATGGGGAAGGAAGGAAAGGACTGAAACGGGATTTCAAGTATCACTCACTGGAGGAAGACTAGCTCACTGAGGTAGGGTTGAGGCATTTCACAGGGCAAGAAAAGCAGAAAGACTGGTGTGTGCAGGAGAACTCTGGGACAGGAGAAAAGTGGGGACGACAAGGTGACGGCTAATGGAGGTATTTTGAAGGGTACCTCGTTAGACAATTAAGATGTGGTTAACGTGTGGGTAGTGGGGGCGCCAAACAAGTTCTTCTTTAATTCAGGTTTGAATATTTCTAATGTAAGTGCTATAAAAAAAAGGGAAAAATTATCCAACATTTGCCTTTAGTTGTTTTTGTGCCTGTGAATTTGGTCATAGGACTTTAGCTCAAGCCACTGGCAAAATTTAGAAGCCGTTTGAAGTCCTTAACCTTCAGTAAGGAACGCGTTCACAGTTAGCTCTTCAGCGTCAGCCCAAAGACTTTAGGTTCCAATTTAGCAAGAATGGATGTCAGGGACACAGGGGTTTGCATTGTACAGTCTATGTGGTGATCTAGTTGTAAGGTCTCCACCTTGGTAAACTAAATTATGTTTCTTTTTGTTAAACATGGGCTAGATCCATTTGCTGGTCACAGGAGAACTGAAGACAGAAATATCGAATGAAGAAATGGGCGAAGATGGATTCTAAGGCTTTGCTAGGAACTGGTAGCATGGAATTAGAGAGATGCATGATGGTTTATCTTATCACTAAAACTTCCTTGTAACTAGTTTGAGTATGTAGAATTTGAGATAAAAGTATGAAGAAAGTTTCAGGTTGAACATTTACTTTCTTAAGTTTGGCTTTCTAAACTCATTCTTGCAACACAATTGTTTGAGTTGACAAGTATTGTGGGATATTTGTATACAATGTGAAGATATATTGCTGTGATTGGCTTAGTCAAGAGCTGAACCGCCAATAGCTAGGCAGGAGGTATAGGTGGGACTTCCAGGAGGAGATATATATATATATAAGTGGGAGGATATAGTCAAGGCACAGAGGAGATACCAATGAGACATGGAGGGAGTTGGAAATACAAAATGAAAGAAAGGTAGAAAGCCACATGGTAAGAACATAGATTAATAAAAGCAGGTTAATTTAAGTTATAAGAGCTAGTGGAACAAGCCTAAGCGATAGGCTGAGCTTTTATAATTAATAAGAAGTCTCCGTGTCATTATTTGGGAGCTGGCTGGTGGGGCAGAAAAAGACGCTGCAGACAGGGATGCTTGGCTATTCTAAACAAAGTCCTTCAGTGCCACCAGTTGTCATTTTGTTTTGTTTTCTGGGTAAAAACAGAAACTCCCCCTCTGTCAGCAGCTACTAACAGGGGTATGTTCTATCCATAACAGGCATTATTCTAAGTGCTTCATGTGACTGCTAACTCTGTAAGCGTAGGAACAACCCAGGGGAGAGAAAAGAACTCTCCATGTTCACAGAGGAATAACCCGGGGCACTGAGATACTAGGATAACCACTCAACCTTCAGAACTTCCAGACCCATGTTCCAACTGTTCACTGTCCTTTCTTCCTGCCTGGCTCTTCCCACAGTTCCCACAAACATGACAGAACAGGGAAGCAGGTTGGGCAAGGCCAAGGGAAGCAACGGGGAAGCAAAGAAAGCTGTTACGCCACGTGGAATCTGCAGTCACATGACTTTCTACCATCTACAGGATTTTAAAAACACGCTTTCTTTACTAAGAACCTTTTCTCTTCTCTGCAAGGGCACAGATCTCCCCCACCCCCTTTAACTCGGTCCCAGTATCAGTAAACAACAGGCCAACTGATGTGATGGGTGAGAGGACTAGGTGGCCAAACCAGGGCCCTGACAGGCTCCCCTAGCAGCCCTGACATGGACCAGGCCTTAGTTTTGGTTCACTAGAACAGGCTGGAGCTGAGCAAGCAGTTCTCAGGAAAACCCCAACTTAGGGGCAATCAATCAACAGGGGACCCCAGACTCCTGCTGGCTTAGTAGGTGCCCTGAAGCCCCCTCTGCTGACTCAGCAGATGCTCCCCCCCCCACAACTTCTGCTAGCTAAAGATAGCTTTTCCTACCCCTACCACCACCAATAGGCCCCTAACCACTGCAGCCTCCCACCAATCAGCTCCCAGACTCATCTTTCCTCCACCAATCAGCACCAGATTAATCCCTCCTCCCTGGAATTCCCTTAACTCCGTTTAAAAGGTACTTACGACCTTCTTTGGGGGTTGCTATTTGCCACCCCAACACGCTGAAAATAAACGCTCTTGCTAAGTTGCATACGTGACCGTTGGTCTTTCTTGGGGGCTTCTCCCGGACCCTAACAATGAGACTGTGTCCTATATATGCATAGTCCTTTCTCAGAAGAATACCAGAGAGTCGAGGGATAGCCACCCAATGTGGAGGAGGAGGGTTGAGGAAAGAAGCAGGGAGGAGAGAAGAAGAGGAGAGGTAGTTCAGAGGATATTTGAAGGAAGAATTTGATCGGGAAATACCTGGTAAACTGAAACTTGAGCAGTCATACCACACAGGGAGTCACACCCTAGCCTTAGAAATTATTCCTTTTTTTTTTAAAAGCTGTCTCAACAATTTCATCCAGAGTAAGGGCAAGCAAAACTTAAAAGATATATTCAAAGTTGGCTCATAAAATGACTGGCAAAAGGAGAGCATAATTCAGAGATGTAAATCAGTTACCTATCATAAAGTTTATAGACAAAATATGACTCAAAGGTACAAGTTCACATGTCAGGTGTTGAATGTTCATCCCTTCAATGTGATATAAAACACAGTAAAAACTGCTACCACTCCCAACGTCACCAGGATGCTTCTTCACACACAATGACTGCTTTGTCTGAACCTAGGATTTCAAAAATTTGGCATTTTTTCCCCAAACACTCCTGAGATTTCTTAGGATAAAGAAAAAAATATTCACCAAGCTACATCTGAAATGTTGAATTCAGTTGGTAAAAGAAGTCAGAGGCAATGAATCTGATATCACCAAGGTATTGGATTTGCTAAATCAAGAGTCCTGTAGGGAAGGGCTCCCCTCTGAGATGAGAAGCAAGGGGGAGAAGGTGGAGAATGAGGACAGGTGGCCGGTGAACAGGACCTGGAGTAAGACCTGGAGTTCATACATTGGGAAGAGCAGAGAAGCAGTCCCAGAGCCAAGAAAGAATGTGCACTGAGTGCCCTTCAGCTGCTTTTTGGGGTGGAGCTGAGGAGTAGGAAGCAAGGCTTTTCTAGCAAGACAAAGCACAGCCCTTTCAAAGCACACAGAAAGAAACAATGTAGGTAAGTGAGGAACAGCAAATCAGCTGCAGGCCCCTACTGCAAGGGAAAAAGACGTCAAAAGGAGATCAGAGAGGAGAGCTTGGGCTCAGTCACAGTAAGATCAGGCATACAGGGATGCTGAGCATCTTATGCCGGGTGTCCATCTGCTTATGGGCATCTAGAAGCACCATTTGATTGAGAGTTTGCCACACAGAGGACAAAATGATAGTGTAAACATAAGAGTATAGATGTGTCTTCACCGAGCAATGATGTACAGTACTACGTCACCTTTTAGGAAGCACATGCCTTGCTCTGGGTAGCCCTGAGAAGTAAGTAATATCTACATTGAATGAATGTAACAGATATGAACTAGTCACATACCTGAAGAGGTCAGTCAGGATGCTGGGGGTGACTTCAGAGATGTTTCAAAGTTTGATATTCCACCAAAGAATCAGTAAGTATACTGCTGCAACCTGAAATCTGGACCTGATGAGAGAGAACAGAAGACTCTAGAATTTTAGAATGGAAAAAAAATGCATTTATTTGGTCTCTGTATTTCACTCATCATATGCACTTGACTTGCTTTTGAACCAGGTACTAGTGTATTCTGAGGATCATCTGACATAATTTAAAAGTGGGGGTCACATCACTTGCTTTATATACATTAATTTTCCTTCTCTAGAAACCATTCATGGGTCTTTAACACAGATTGTTAATGGTGGCTAATGTTTCCAGGCAGGTATCAACTTTTCAAAAACTGTTATATTCCCAAAAAGTATTAGGTGGATATGAGTTTATTAAAATATTGATTGCTAACAGCCATCTAATAGGTCATTACTGACCAATCATGGTGTCTATTATCCTTGACCAGAAAGAATGCCAAGGACCATCCAGGTACTGAAGATGTCTTTCAGTGACGATGATGCAGAGGCCAGATAAAGCCTTGTCAGTTAGGGAGACTGAAACCTCCGTAGAGTCAGCCTGTTAGCTTATTTTGCTTAGAGTGCTATCAGGCAGTTATAGAAAAGGTTGTGGGAAAGTGGAAAGAGTGATATTATATGAAATTTTAGGTAGATTGTATGTTATCACAAAATCTTGAACTTTACTTTTGGAATTGTATTGCCTACACACGTGGTAGCAAGCTGTTTTTGTGGAGTAAACTTGCTTTTTTTTTGGTTTTTCGAGACAGGGTTTCTCCGTGTAGCTTTGCGCCTTTCCTGGAACTCACTTGGTAGCCCAGGCTGGCCTTGA